GGATTAAGATCGCATCGAAGGTCCACCATGCGAACCACCAATGCCCGTTTTCCACTACCAGATCGCCAACATCTCGTCTCCAACCGCCAGACCGCCTCTCTTACAGATTCCAACGGCCCATCAAAGGCGCAGACCGCCTGGTAAAGCCCGATCCGCTCCATACCCTGCACATCTCAATCTGACCGCCTTCCATCAGGCTTATGCGGCCCACTTTGCGTCCAGTAAGACCCGTTAAGACCCGACAAGCCCGCTGACCAAGCACAAGAAGGCCCGCTTTTGAAGATCCAACATCAACCACTTGGCCCGACTTTAGAGAGCCCAATCCTGGCTCCAATTAAAAAGAAAGGAGGCCAGCGGCCGCCGTGAATCGAACACAGGACCGCCTAACAATAATCAGCAGCTTCGACCAGTAGGCTAAAAGCACCTTTGCTGTTACAAATAAAGCCGCCCAGATTTTACTCATTCACTTTCTGCCTCTCCTGCCAAGCTAAGTAATTTCTTCAATAATATATATTCGGATCCACGCCATGAAGAGGCATCACCACCATGTTAGGATATTCTTCGTAAAGTTCTATGCTCGTATTTATGCTCTAAATATATTTGGCACTAGCCACTTGCTTCTTTATAGGATACTTGAAGACTCACGCCTCCGACCTCCGAGTTAGGCTCGAAGACTCCTGCCTCAGAGCAATGATCCCGCCTCTGAGCGATGCTCCCACCGGGGAATGATTCACGCCTTCCGCCTTCGGGCAAGGCTCGAAAACCGCCTCCGAGCGATGCTCTCTCCGGAGAATGCTTACCGCCTCCGAGCGATGCTCCCTCTCGGGAATGCTTCCCGCCACCAAGCGATGCACCCTTGGGGGATTAATTCATGCCTTCCGCCCCCGGGCAAGGCTAAAAAACCGCCTCCGAGCGATTCACTCTTCGGTGATTAATTCATGCCTCTCGCCTCCGGGCAAGGCTAAAAAACCACCTCCGAGCAATGCACTCTTCAGTGATTGATTCATGCCTTTCACCTTCCCAGGAAGACGAGGAGCGATGCACTTTCCAGGAAGCCGAGGAGCGAAGCGCATCTCAGGAAGCCGAGGGAGCAACGCGCTTCCCAGGAAGCAAAGGAGCGAAGCGCTTCCCAAGAAGCAAAGGAGCAATGCGCTTTCCAGGAAGAGAAGAAGCAATGCGCTTTCTAGGAAGCCGAAAAGCAATGCGCTTCCCAGGAAGCGAAGAAGCAATGCGCTTCCCAGGAAGCCGAGGAGAAATGCGCTTCCCAGAAAATGAAGGAGCAGTGCGCTTCCCAGGAATCAAAGGAGAAATGCGCTTCTCAGGAAGCGAAGGAGCGATGCGCTTCTCAGGAAGCCGAAGGAGCGATGCGCTTCTCAGGAAGCGAAGGAGCAATGCATTTCCCAAGAAGCAAAGGAGCAATGCGCTTCCCATGAAGCCGAGGAGCGATGCGCTTCTCAAGAAGCGAAGGAGCATGCGCTTCGCAGAAAGCCAAAGGAGAGATGTGCTTCCCAGGAATTCGGAGACTTCACTTCCCATAAAACCAATGACTAATGCGCTTTCCAGGAAATCGAGGACTAAAGCGCTTCCCAGGAAGCCGAAGGAATAATGCGCCTCCTTGGAAGCGAAGGAGCAATGCGCTTCTCCAGAAGCAAAGCAGAAGCACACCCCAGTGAGCCGAAGAAACACTAAACAAAAGCGTCTTGAGTTAAAACTCTCAAGCCGTGGGGGCCACCCTACCTAGGTCGCAATTATGGTCTACTAGCGCTAACAAAAATGGACTAGCAAAGGAACTCTTAACGACTTGAGAGCGTTAGTTCAAGACATCGAAAGATAAGCAAGGGGCAGAAGAAATGGTCACGCAACTCGCACAAGGGGCAAACCGCATCATACGGATTCGCAAGTAAGGCAAATTAATACACGATTAACGCATTATATATGTTACTCCTTGCATTCTTACAGAATACAAGAAGCAAAGGGGCAATTGTTGGGATATGGATTAATATGCCTAACACGACTATAAACGGGCCCAAGCCCACCGCAAGGCATCCTGGGCCCAAGCCCACTCAAGGAAGCCCACACCCTATATAAGGAGGCCTAACCCTCCAAACTAGAGATCCTCTCTTCCCTTCCCACACTCTAACCCTAAGGTCTCTCTCTAAACTCTCTCTCTCTCTCTCTAGATACCATAAACCTCATCCTATATCGTACTAACTTGGGCGTCGGAGCGTAGATCCCGAGGGCCGCCCCCCGCCTCACAGGTTCTTCCACTCCCGAGGAGATCGGACGAGGGAGTCCAGATCGGAGCCTCATAACCGCCTAGTACATTCTAGGTTCAAACAGGGTGAAAAGAAGAAAAATACAGCAACTGGTCCGGTTAATTTGGAGCATATATCCCCATCCCATATGCATGAAAACGATGAGGAAGTAGAGCATGATGAGCCCCAAGGTGCAGTAGATCAAGAAGTGCAAGGAGAAGAGAAATTGGAGCAACAAGAACAATTGACGAAGAGCAACCTCTACCCAAACAAAGAAAGTTAACAAGAGATCGCAAAGCTTCCACTTGGTACTCCCCTCACGAGTACCTATTGTTGACTGATGGGGAAGAACACGAATATTATCGAGAAGCTATTTCTCATGAAGACAAGGAGGGGAGTGGAATACAGCAATGCAAGAAGAGATGAAGTCTTTGCAGGAGAATCACACCTATGATTTGGTGAAGCTACCCAAAGGAAAAATATCACTTAAGAACAAGTGGGTCTACAAGTTAAAGACGGAGGAAACTAGTTCAAACCCTTGCTTTAGAGCGCGACTAGTTGTGAAGTGTTTCAACCAAAAGAAAGGTGCTCACTTTGAAGAAATTTTCTCTCCCGTGGTGAAGAAGTCTTCTATTTGAGTTGTGCTTGGGTTGGCTGCAAGTTTGGACTTGGAAGTTGAACAACTCGATGTGAAGACGACATTTCTTCATGGTAACTTAGAGAAAGAAATATACATGGATTAGCTGGAAGGGTTCGAGGTTAAAGGCAAAGAAGATCTTATATGCAGATTGAGAAAGAGCTTATATGGGTTGAAGCAAGCACCAAGGCAATGGTACAAGAAATATGACTCATTCATGGTCAACCACGGGTATGAACAACTACCTCAGATCATTGTGTGTTTGTGAAGTACTTTGCTGAAAATGATTTCATCATTCTCTTGCTTTACGTGGAAAACATGTTGATCGTGGGTCGAAATGTTGGAGAGACTGATAGATTGAAAAAGGATTTGAGTAACCCTTTGCCATGAAGGACTTAGGACCGGCAAAACAAATTCTAGGGATGAGAATATCTAGAGATCGAAGGAATGGAAAATTTTGGTTGTCTCAAGAAAGATATATTGAAAGAGTTCTTGAGACGTGCAACATGAGCAAGGCTAAGGCGGTTAGTACTCCACTTGGAGGACATTTGAAATTGAGTTTGAAGCATTGTCATACAAGTGAGGAAGAGAAAGAAGCAATGAAGAATATTGGTATTGTTAGTCGGTTTCTTTCCAATCTGGGGAAATAACATTGGAGAGCAGTGAAGTGGATTCTTTGCTACTTGAGAGGTACTTCTAGAGTATGTCTATGCTTTGGTAATGGAAAAACCATACTTGATGGATATACTAATGCTAACATGGCAGGTGATGTGGACTCTATATAGTTAACTTCTAGATACATGATGTCTTTTGCAGGGGCTGCAGTTTCATGGAAATCTAAACTGCAAAAATGTGTTACATTATCAACAACAGAAGCCGAGTACATAGCCGTGACGGATGCTTGCAAAGAAATGCTATGGTTGAAGAAGTTTCTTCAAGATTTGGGAATCAAGCAAGGGAAGTATGTGCTCTTTTGTAATAATCAAAGTGCAATTCATCTTTGAAAAAATCCTACTTTCCACTCAAGGTTGAAACACATAGATGTTCGATATCATTGGATTCGTGATGTTTTGGAAGAGAAGTTGTTGGAGCTCAACAAACTGCATACATATGACAATGGTTCGGACATGATAACTAAATCTCTACCAAGTGGGAAACATATCTTCTGTCGAGATGAGGCAGGTTTGGTGCTACTCCCCATATGAGCTGGAGGGGGAGATTTGTTGGGTTGGTCCAACTCATATTGTGGTTGGACTAACCGGTTTGAGTTTGAGTTTTGGTTGGTTTCTAGAAGATCCTCTATTATTAAAAATAGAGAGATTTATTGTCTGGTAAAAAAGGAAAAGAGGAGACAACTTTTCATATTTTGGATAGAGATTTAGAAAGAGAAGAGATAAGGAAAAGAGAGAAACAAAAGCTACAGTTTTTCGTTTCTACAGCAGGGCATCATGTTCAAGTGAGTGTTCTGGACAATAGAACCGTTGGATCATCATGAAATTTGGACAGATGGTTTGGAATTATATGGTATTCATTCTCACCGGAGGGATCTTTGTTCTGATCCCTATTTCATCGAGAATAGCTGTTGGACAGAAGGTGTACGAATCTATTTTTTAGTACTTCTAAACCTCTATTGGTCTTGCTATTCTTGTTATCCACCATGTTGATGAGAGCTATTGTGGTTGATTATTAATCAAAGAAGTATGTTCTTGAGGTGTTTGTAATCCTCTAGCTAGTCTAGAGAAGACTTGTAATCCCACCAAAGTCTAGTGGAGTTGTGGCTTGTACAAAGCTCCCGTGGTTTTTTCCGATTTGGGTTTTCTACATAAAAATCATGTGTCTTGGCTTCAGACTACATCCTAAAAGTAAAAGGGTCCTTTTCCCTACAGGGCTTACACACACAATAAAAAAAGAGCATTGTACGACACAACACTGAGCTCAAATCCGCCCCTGTAAATCTTGTCGGCTAACCTTTTGGCCTCATCGAGTTTCCCATCAACACACCAACCTTTAATCAGCAGATCACAGTGATATCGTCGGGGAATATCTAATTAGCTACATTTTCACCATCTTCTCGGCGTAATTCGCATGACCATGATCACACAGCTTTCTCACCACAAAAGTAAACGAGTCTCTATCACGCTTAAATCCATAGTCTGGCTCCGTCTTCCCAAAAACTCTACAACCTGCTTAGGCCTCCCTGCCCTGGCAAGCCTATCAACCATTGATTCGAATGTTCTAGACCCAATAACACCTTTTCCCTCCACTAGCAGTTCATGGGTCGCCTTAAAATCCTTTCGTCTACCAAAATAATCAGTAAAAAATGAGAATGTTTCATCTATATGTTTAAAATCGAGATTACTGATCAACCATTGGTGGAATCCTAGTATAGCGCGACCAGCATTTGGGGAAAGACTAAGCATTTGCAGGATCAGAGAAGGAGTTATTGAGCCGGTAAGATGGGAGAATCTTAGGCTGAGCCTCTGTGGGACTGGCAGGGAGTCGACAGTTGGATTTGTGAGCAGCTCGGCGGACAGAGACTGAGTTACTGATTCTAGCTCCAAAATGGAAGCAGGGCTCGGGGATTGAGATTGAAAGTACCACGTTGAGAAAGTAACCGGAAGAAAGGAAGATTTAGGAAGATGATGAGAGGGAGCGAAAGTGGAAGAGATGGATTTGTGAGTCAAAGCCAGCGGAGAAGAACTAGAAATTAGACGATAGCGGAGAAGCCACCGGAGTTGCAGAGACGTCGGAGGCATTTTCCCAAAGCTAAGGAAGCACGAAAAAGTTAAACTACTAATTGGGTCTTTTGTTAGTAGATACTTATAGGGTTGGATTTAGAGCCACGCCAGCACAACTTGAATCCAAGGGTTGAGGTTGCTGGGCTTTCTTTGGCTCACTTAAGTGATTCCATGTGCACTTTTTTAACAAAGTCGAGCCACGTGAGGGAGCCTCTAAAGGTGATCCACTTTGATTTGGGCAGGAATTGGAAGAGGAAGGGAGGATTTAGTGGCAAAAATTGGGGGAGGATAGGTGATTGGACATTTAATGCTCAAACACTTTTTGTCTTTGTAGATCTGATATCTCTTAGTGTCATTTTGATATTTGACTCACTTCTACTGTCACCCTAGGAATTGGCCAAGTGAAACCACTTCCTAAAGCGTAGTATAGCGGGTTTGGGTTTAAATGTCAACCCGGGTCCTAGATTTGATGACTACTCGGTGAATTCTTGTTATCTAGCAATGAAACTTTAATGCAAGTCTAAACTAACAAACTAACAAAGCAAGTAAACTGTTGTATTCAGGTTAAGAGAGGTCACCCGGATATGGTTCCCCCTAGACTGCAGTTAAGCCGGATTGTAATTACCAAGTTCAGTTTCTATGATAGTTATACTGCGGAAGGTTCTTAAACAGCCTGAAGTCTCGACTAAAGGTCTTCAGACCCTCTCAATCTGAGTCTCTAGCGGACGACTAACCTCCACCGGAGTAAACAGATTGAGGCCCTATGAACAAAACCTCCACTACCGAAGTGAATCCGGTACAGAATAGTGAGTTGGCTCCTCGACTAAAGTCACCAACTCCCTACATTCAATCAAGGATGCTCTATCAACCTAGGCAGATATTCTCATTCTAGGTTAAAGCAGAAACAACAGGAATTTGATAGGATTCAAGTCATTCAATCATTCAAACCTCAATCGAATATAATCAAATCATAGAATCAGTACTTGGGTTCATACAATCAAACCTAACATACAAATCTAGGGTTCTCCATACCCAGATGAATGGGAGAACTACTCCATGGAGAAAGAAGCAAAAGCAGAATCAGACGCGGAATTCATACTGTGAAGGATGGATTCCTGCTCCTGGACGTTGATCGGCACTTCTCCAAGCTCAAACTGGCCTCCAATGGTGTTGAAGATCAATCTAGGGCACTTGGAGACTCTTGTTCGTCGCTTTCTCTCTCTAGGAACTGATCTCTCTCTCAAAAACTCCAATCCCCCTGAATTGTGGCTGAAAATCTGCTTAAAAGCATCAGTGGCCAAAGCACGGTCGAGGACACGGCCGTGCTTTGCCTGAGTCCGCCCGTGTCTCGGCCAAGGTTTAATTACACGGCCAGCAGTTGGGAGAAACACGGTCGTGCTTCGCGTTGGACACGGCCGTGCTTTGGTGGAACACGGTCGTGCTTTGGTGCCCGTGTTTGCAACTGAAATTGCCAAACCGAATTTGCTCTCGGCATAAAAAGCACGGCCACAGGAACACGGCCGTGTAATGCCTTAGGCTGCCCGTGTTTTGGCTCCAGCTCACCGAAATGACTTCCGAATGCCCCAAAACTCGCGCTTAGCCTTCCCTTTGACACCTGGGACCTGAAACATGACAAAATAGCACAACCCGGCGTAAAATAGGCCACAACACACGACTATGCCCCTCAAACGGATAAGAACTAGGGGCGCAAATATGTGCAATTACATCGTTATCAAACTCCCCCACACTTAACCGTTTGCTTGTCCCCAAGCAAACCTAACTCAAACCAATGCAACTCTCCAGACCTCTATAGCAACAAACAACCCAGATCGTAGGTAGAGGACTTCCTAGATCATTTAGCAACTTACGAGGTCAACCGACGCACAAGTCATCTCATAGCTTCTTCGGCGAAAGCACTAGTATCGAGTCGGCATCATGGCAAATAGTGAACAGAGGACAAATGAATTGTGGATGGAGAGATTCTCAAAAACAAAAGACCATGGACTCACATTTTTCAAGGTGCTCTATTTTCTGCTTAAAGATGGTTGGAACCCCCTTTTTTTCTGTTTTGCTTGTTTTCTGATATTTTTCTTTTCTTTTCTTTTTCAAGGGTCCCAACCTGCTCTTACCGGCCATGCCAGGAGCGGATGTCTCGAGCCTCGTGCGGGGGAAAGACATGTAAGGGGGCTGGAGGTAGTAGGTGGAAATTGGGAACGAATTCCCGTCTCCCCTTACACACTTTCGCCCTATTCGCACGGGAGACGTTTATTTGGAAGCACATTTTCGAGCACCTGTTATTTTCAAAACATGACACAAGAGTCCATGACAGGTAGAAAATCCACAACATCACACAATTCAAGGGTCCTAAGATCACTAATTCACTCAATCAACCAACACAATATGAAGAAGAAATGAGACTTCTTAAATGCATCAACATCCTCCATAGTGCTACACTACCTCCCTAGGTTGCATATTACTATAAAGACTGTCAATTCAAAGCATACTGAGCAGGCAATTGCAAGGAAACACGTACTTGGAGCCCTCAAATTTAAAAATTTGGACAGTGGACTAGGCTCCAAGCACACAAACAGATCTAATGCAGTCAAAAGATAAACACCCCCCCACACTTAAGATCGACATTGCCCTCAATGGAGAAGAGGGAAGGATAAGGGGAACGATGTTACCGGTATGCATGGACTGCATAAGACTGGAAGCGGGCCAGTCGAGTGAAGCGGACTGGAGAGGGGACCAGTCAGGGCAAGCACAGCCAAAGGGGAACAGAAGAGCTCAAACACAATATGTTAGGTTCAATGGTCAGCCCAATAAAATATCATCCAAACCAAAAGAAAACAAACCAAACCCAATCCGGGTTACAATCCGACTCAAAACACAAGAAAGGAAATCAAACCGTGGTGGGGTTGCCTCTCCACAAGCGCTTCTTTACCGTCTTTTAGCTGGACGCCCATGGTGGATACTCAGGGAGGTGAAGGAACAGGTGCCTCCAAGAGCGGATCCACGTAGCTCTTGAGGTACAACTTGAGGTTGTGGCCATGCACCCGACGGATGCGACCACCATCATCGGTCAGCTCGACCTGGCCATCTGGCAAGATGCAGGCGAGTGAGTACCCGGACGGCCAGGGTGGTCGTGGTGCAGGAGGTGGGACCAGCTCATAGTGGTCTCCACTCTTCTTACGTGCAGGCTTAGCAACCTGCTGCTTCGGCCGCCACTCCTCCTTGAGCTTTTTGTTCGGAGGCGTGGCTGGATGGAGTGGCGGCGAAGGAATGATAGGAGGGTCCTGCAAAATAGGAGGTGCAGAAGGGTACACGACAGACTCGTGTACCTGATCAGAAATGGCATGCACAGGCGTGACAGCAATCATAGCACAGTGATCAAATTCAGTCACAGAAAAAGTAGCATGTTCATCCCCAGCACGCAAGATCAACTTACCATCATGCACATCAATAAGTGCCTTGGCGGTGGCAAGAAATGGTCTACCCAGAATCAAAGGTACATCCACATCCTCATGTATATCAAGAATAATAAAATCAACAGGATATGTGAATGCACCAACACTAACAAGCAGATCCTCTATGATTCCCCTAGGATGCACGATAGAACGATCAGCTAACTGAATGCTCATCCTAGTAGGGCTAAGTTCACCTAGGTCTAGCTTTTTATACAACTTATATGGCATGACGTTTATGCTAGCGCCTAGGTCCGCCAAGGACTTTCCTACATGCATGCTGCCAATAGTAAGAGGGATAGTAAAACTCCCTGGATCCTTGCGCTTCTCGGGCAGCTTGTTCTGCAGGATAGCAGAACACTCCTCGCTCAGCAGCACTGTCGAGAGATCCCCAAGTTTCTTCTTGTTGGTGCAGAGATCTTTCATGAACTTGGCATACTTGGGCATCTTCGACAGTGCCTCCACGAACGGTATGCTGATGTTGAGCTGCTTCAACATTGCCATGAACTTGGCAAACTCAGTCTCCAGCTTGTCCTTGTGTAGGCGAGTGGGGAAGGGAAGCTGGGGCACATGCTCCTTAACCACTAGTTGTGGCTTGGGAGCAGGGGCTTCCTTCTCCACCCGCACTGCTGCATCGTCTGCTGGAAGTGCTGAAGCAGGTAGTGGTTCCTCCTGTCTGGCCGGAACAGGATCAGTAGATATGGCCCTACCGCTCCTGGTAAAAATGGCATCAAGCTGCTGGAGCTGGTGAGGATCCCGAGGATTCGGGATAGTGGTGGCAGGCAGAGTCCCCGGTGTCCTGGTGGTGCTTTGGCGGGCCAAGATGCCCACCTGGGTCTGCAGATCCTGCAAAATGGCACCCTGGTTCCTCTGACCTGCCTCCAGTGAGGCTACACTCTGGTCCAACCTCGTGATAGTCGCCTGAGTGCTCGTCATGAATGAAGCTAGAATGTTTTCCAGCTTCGTCATCCTGTCATCTGGGGCTGGAGCTGCTACTGGCTCGGCAAACTGGCGCTGGGGCTGCTGGAATGGCTGCCCCTGCCTAGGCTGGTAGGGCTGCTGTTGTGGGTCTGGCCCCTGGCGAGCCTGGAAGGGCTGCCTCTGCTGAAAACCACCTACTGGTGCTGGGAAACCGGGTGGTTTAGTGGTGTTGCTGCTCCAGGCGAAATTGGGATGCTGGCGCCACCCCTCATTATATGTGTTACTGTATGGATCGAGGCGCCGCGCATTGGCGATGAAGGCCAACTGCTCCTAGGGTGTGGTAGACTCCCTCATAGCCTTGCAGTCCTCTACTAAGTGGCTCGAGCTCTCACACCACTGACACTGAGCAACTGGAGGTGTAGCCATACCTCTGCCCGGAATAAGACTGTTGGGCTGCTTCAATGTCTGCACTAGCTCAGCTACCTGCTGCTCGAGTCCGGATCTGGACTCCATGGCGTGCACACCACGGTCCCGGGAATGTCTGCCTCGGCTGCTCTGGCCCCAAGAATGATCTCTGGCAGCCAAAGTATTAATCATCTGGTTCAACTCTGGTGGAGTCTTAGTGAGAACATC